TCAAAACATAAGTAACAACAACAACCTTGTGTACTAGTGAATATGATGCTTTGGTGTATCATCTGTGATATTAGCATGCATCGCCTCCAAATGCTGCCGGACGGGCGTCAACTGTAGACGACTGGCTCCAATCAATGCAGTCTCATCCGGTAGATGGAAATCGGTGAGCTGCTGCAACATCTCCAGGTACTGCAAACCCGTATATTCTCTGATGGCATTCGACAAAGCAACATGGTGTCTATCAATGGGCAGTCCATACAGGACCTCCGCGTCCTGAAGCGTGATAGTGGCCTCGCCAATGGACAAATGGAATGCGTGCGTCTCCGGTCGCCACCGCTCTATCAGGGTCGTGATCAATGACCAATCCAGCTGCAGCTGGCCGATCTCCACAATCATATAAAAAACGTATCCTGGAGGCGTCTGACTATACGGGGATGGGGAGGGTGGGCCATAAGAATGTCTCACATATCGTCTACTCTCCTGGCGCGGAATGTCTGGGCCAGTAACTGTCCCTCCCATATGTAGGACGACCTATGCTCGCCCTGTAGCAACCGTAGCTCTAGCGTGGCAGGTCCGGGATGCAAAGGCGGAACTTCCATGTCGGTTACTGTAAATTGAACAATATTTTACTTTAATATGTTAGTTTTATTATTTTACATGTTAGTTTTATTATTTTATATGTTTGTTTGTTACTCACCTATTTTTGACTATAATAAAATTAAATAATTAATTTTTATAATTATATAAAATTTAATTATTAAATATTCACATATGGGTTTCGGGCTCGATATTTGAGGCCCATTAGCACCAAGGTATCCTGAATTCTTATGTTCATGATGAGACAATTTTTTCAATTTATCACTCAATATGTCTGTTATTTTAAATATTAGTTTATTATTTATATGTTAGTTTAATATTGTATATGTTAGTTTTATTAATTTATATGTTAGTTTTATTATTATATATTTTTGTTTATGACTCACTTATTTTTTACTATAATAAAATTAAATAATTAATTTTTATAACTATACATGATTTAATTATTAAATATTCATATAACAATACTTAGTCCAGGAAATATTCTTGTTTTCTCATGTTATTTTCTTACGATCGTTGACTAGAATTGGACAGAGTTTGTGTTTGAACTATCAGCTTTTTTGACGTATGTTTGGGTATAAGAGATACTTAAATGATTAATTTCAATAAATACAAGGATACTACGCTAAAGGGAATTACATTTTACTACGCTAAAAGGGCAATACAATACAAATACAAGTACAACATTAGGCCACAAGATACCACTAAAGGGAACTAAAGTGACAATTTATATATTTTACTAGTCTTTAAGCAAATAAATAATCTAAACCGGATAAAAATAACAAATAAATTTCATCACAAAATATTCACGAAAATACATATACCACAATAAAAAGTAACTGATTAGTATTTTTTTTAACAACTAATAATAATTTCTCTATTTTTACTAATTTTTTTAGCACACTAATACTATAGTCCGGATAAAAACAACAAATTAGTTAAATTGTAAAACAATCACAAAACAACATAGAACACATTAAAAATAACTAATATGCATTTTTTATACGAGCTTTAACAAAAATTAAATCGGAATACCTCGATTTTAAGTTTTTGGAAAATTAAAGATTTAGTGATTTGGAGCCGAAACAAGCAACCCACTCTGAGATAACGCCTTAGCTAGGACGTGGGACCGAAAATCTACACTTTTTGTGGGATCGGTGGGCTCTACTCGAGCTTTTTTTGATTAAAAATAAGGGGGCTGTTTGTATTCTTTAATTTGGGGGAGGGGGGGTAACGACACTGGTTTGGTGGGGAAGGGGACTGGACGCCCTTTTATGTGGGTATAATGCCCTTTAAGGCACTATTCTATAGCGTCTTAATAAAGAGCGTTATACCTTCCCGCTCATTTCAGGTTCAAATATAACGCCTTTTTAAAGGGCGNATATATATATATATATATATATTTTGGTCACTATATTTTTTCTCACATATTTTGGTTCTTTGAGTCCAAAATAACCATATTTTGATTCCGGACTCCAGTTAAACAATATATGCTGGATGACGATAGTACAACTTTTTCCAATCATTAAGAACTTGAGAATGACTTGTAAGTAATTTGCTCTATTTTTGGTTGGTGGGTATTTTAATCCAATTTTTGTTCATTAAACTTAAAAAGTCCACTTTCACACAAATTCTTGAAACGGGGACAAAAGTTAAATGGCTGCGAAACTATCACCATGTTGTCTTAGATGGGTGCTATTTAAGAAAACCCCAAAAGACCATTTATGTGGACTTATAGCCTGTTTGGCCAAGCTGCAAAAATTAATTTATTTTGAGAAATATTTTTTCTTAAAAGTACTTTTGATAAGTATCAGTTTGGATTTTTACCTAGCTATACTATAATAGAAACCTATTTACCATCTTTATTTAAGTTCCTTATTTATTACTTTGTAGATCTATATTTATAAGTTATATACAAAACCATTAAAAAGAAAAAAATCCAAGTTCCCTTAATTTTCAGTTACATGATCCCCCCCAGATTTTCAATTCTTTTCCTTTTCTAAAGGTTTTCAAACCCAATTTCTCTCTTTCCTACTAATCACCCAAATTCTCTATTTTTATTATTGATACAATGTAGACGAAATTTATAATATTGCTCTAAAATCAAGTTGTGGATACATTTTGAATCTTGTTTTCTTTCTTTCTAAAATCTTTACTGTATGTGACTTAAAATAATACTCGATACAATACTAATACAATTATAATACGATTATATTAGATTTTTAGTGTAGAGTTGTGATTGAAACTTGAAAAAAGATGAAGATCGTAAATGTATAAAAACAATTCAGAAATGTATCGTGATTGTATTATAATTTTATATGTATCATAATTGTTGCAGGAATTGTATATCAAATGTACATTGTATCTTGTTACGAGCAATTGTGAGTTCGTAACGAATTTCACAGTTTGTATCACAAGTATGATAATTGTATATTAATTTATTAGTATTGTGTAGGTATTCTTTTGGGTATTAATGTACCAGATACAAGTTAGATGCAATTGTGATACAAGTATGATACAATTATGTTTTAGGTTTAATATATTTGATACAATTCAAATACAATTATGATACAATTATCATATAATTTTTGAATATTTTTTAATAACATAAAGCTGTTGGCAATGGTGGGAAGAGAGAAGATGGAGATTCTGGGCGTAGATTAAGGGATTTAGATTTAAAAAAAAAGAAGATGAGAGGGAAAAAGAAAAGAAAGGATGTAATTGAATCACTTAATTGAAGGCACTGATAATGGGGTGAGAGCCTTTTTAGGAGTAATGTATACAAATTGTAAGAAAAACCTAGATACTTATTAAAAACTGCAATACATAAAGAACATAGGTAAATACGTTTATAATATAGTATAGCTAGGTAAAAATCCCAAGCAATTTGTGTTTGGCTAATTAATTTGAAAAATACTTCTGAGCAGCAATTAGTGTTTGGCCAAACTTTTAAAAACTGCTTCTAAGCGTATTTTTCTCAAAAGTATTTTTCAAAAAAGTTATTTTAGAGAGAAGCTACTTTTTTCTGCTTCTCAAAATTGCTTATGCTTTTGCTCAAAAAATACTTTTTTTTCTTCCAAAAGTTTGGCCAAACTTTTAACTTTGAAAAGAAAGCATTTTTTTTTGAAAAAAAATTGGTTATAGGATCGAAGAATCTTGGCCAAACAGGCTATTAAAATATTTGGGTCTTGTAGATTTCGAGGGGGCAAGTGCACATATAGCCATCTCATGGATACTATTTAGATATTAGCTAATAATTATTTTTGTTCTAAAATTATAAATTAAAAATCTTAATTTCAAGACATTTTTATCGTATGTTTAGGCCTCATTTGTTTTTTTAAAGATTAAGACGTCTGAATCTGAATATCAAGATGTGTATTAAGATTAAGACGTCTGAATCTGAATATTAAGATGTGTATTAAGATCTAAATGCTAAATGATTTAGACTGTTTGATTTTTAATATCTGAATATATAAAATTTATCTTTATTTGAAAATTAATAAACATAAAATTCAAATGAAATACTAATTAATCTAATATTCTATCAATAAAATATATAATTTTTTTAAAATATAGTTGTTGCTGGTAGAGATGGCTAACAATGTTGCTTGTGAATGCCCACTAGAGGCGGTGGTAGGTTTGGTTGATGGTGGTGGTGAGTGATGATAGTTAATAATGGCGGGGGGTGGTGATAGTTGTGATTGAGGAATGTAGTTTATAATGGTGGTAGTTTATAATGGTGGGTAGTGCCGGTTAGTTGATGGTGATGGGATGATTAGTTGTGGTAGTTGAGGTGGATGAGTGTTTGTGGTTGAGAATGATTGTGGTGTGAGTGGTATGGATGGCGGGTGGTGGCAGTCGATTATAGTGGCAGCTATGATGGTGGTGATTGTGGTTGAGTATGGTGGTGGTGGTGGTGGCATGGTGTTAGTTGATAATGGTAGGCGGTGACGATAATTAATAATGAATATGACTGATAGCATCTTAATGAAATTAAGTCTGTGTTATGCATCTTAATTATACAGACCTATTCAGACTCATTAAGTAATTGCGAAGTAAAAAAAGTAAATAAATTTAATGATTAAAATTTGAATAATTAAGATTTAAAATTTTAAAACAAACACATTTAATGTTTAAGATATAAATAATTAAGATTCAAGTGCAAACAAACGAGGCCTTTGAGTGGCTACATGTCATTTAGCGATTTCGAGCTCACGAGCCCAAACTTTTCTCAGTGGCTATTTGTGTAAAATCCTACGTTTATCGAATACGCTGCAATTTCACGTTAAAGCAGAGTTTGTTCTTCCGTCGAGTTAACACTTGACGCAGCTTTTTCTATCGGTGGCGAAACATTGCTCAGGCGACTCATCGGCGATCGTTTTTAAAAAATCCGATTTGTAAGATCCCCTCTTTATTCCTCCATCTCTAATTTCTCCAAACCAAAACCCTAATCCCCTCTCCCCAAAATTTTTCAATTCTACTCTTGTGAATTGGGTTGTAATTTTGTTTTCTATTTCTCACGGTTTAAATTAAGCTTCATATCCATAATTTATGGCTTTTTCGGTGATTTTGCGAGCTAACTTGTAGTTTAATGTGTTAATTTCTCTGGTTGTTTTGAGGGACTATTGGTAATCAATTTGTGCATCTGTTCATCGTTATAAATTTTTTTTTTAAAAATTAATTGGCGTTATGTTCAGACTTCAAAGTCAATGGCTCCTATTTATATAGGTTCTACTACCCTATTTTGGGTAGTGATAATCAACTTTTGGATTGAAAGGAATAAAGAAAAAAAGAAGATTTCTCGGTTATAAAAAAAGGAGTAAACAAAACAGAATTACATAACACTGCAGTAGACAAAAGCCTTAAATTTGAGTGGAGAAGGGTAGAGGGGCAGGGACATTATTCGCCTGGGTTTTGTACCATGCGCTGGCGCTCGGGGATTTCTCGGTTTAAAAAAAAGGAATAAAGAAAAAAAAAGATTTTTTTTTATTTATTTACCTAGATCATTATTCAACAATATGTACAAAGTTATTGTCGTATGTTACATAGCGTTGGATGTAATTTTTCTTTTATTTCTTGTGGTTTTAATTTCTGTTGGTGTTGTTGTGATTATTGTTACTTTGTAGTTACTTGATGTGAGAGCTTGAAATGTTTGTATAGAGTTAATGGTCCATTATGACTGATTTTGTGCCGCATTTTTTTTTTTTTTTTTTTTTTGCCGTTACTGACACCGGTGTTTGTCTGCTCATGGCTTACCTCACACTGTGTCCTCACTTTACTCTTAACTATTGTGTCCCTCTAAGCATATCCTGAGCGCGGACACTAGTTTCCACACTTTTTGTTATCTATAATGCTGAAACAGCATTTAAGTTTGCAAAGAAAGGTCGGTAGTATAGTGAAGTGCAATCAGCAATTCTAATGTGCTGTTACACTTTTAAAACTCTTTTTATTTTTTTATATGAACAACTGTATCTCCATGGATCACTGCCTTGACTCTAGCTTCTATCCTGTTCAATAGACGAGGTATACGTGGAGATTTTGACTAATATATACGTGCCCATCTGTTTTCATGTGAGGAGCGATATACAAGACTCAATAGTGAGGTTATTCCTTATCCTTCTGGAATGCTGGTTCATAAGCATTCTGTTCTCATACTAGGCCATGCATGGTTTGAAGAAAAAGTTACCACTTTGGGGTCTCCACATGTCCGTTCTTACAGTAACTTCTGAGCTTATAATTGATGTATTTTGAGCTCCGCATGGATCTCTACTCCCAAATATCATATATCTTTGGACTTTCTAATTGACTAGTGCATAGTGGTTTCACCCTTACAAATGCATATCATCGTCTACTTTTCACAGATAGGAATTACTTTCATTGGGTAATCCTATCACCTTTTTTTTTGACGTGGTGATGTCCTTTGTACTGGGAAAGTTATCATGTGGCTTTCTATTTTTGAACAAGAGAACCCATATCTTTTGCCTTGGGATTAGTAATCTCTTCAGGTTCAGATGATATTCAGTAACATTATATCTGATGATTCCTACATGAAGATCTTAGTTGTGCATTACAATGTTTCAAGAGTTGTTCTGGGAAGATTTTGATTTTGAGGAGTCCAGTAAAGGGGAGGCCAAATCATGAAGATTGTTTCCTGGTTCATGATGGCTTGACTATCTATTTGTGCATGCATTACAGGAAAGCCTTACAGTCATCTTGCTGCTGAAACTTCAAAAAAGAACATCGAGAGTTTTGCAGGGATAACACCAGTGGCTCTTGCAAGAAATGGATCCTGGTCGATATGGGCCCCATCATGGATGGGAAAATAACAGCGTAATTGTGGTTTCCTTCTTAATCACATAATGGATGATAGACAAGAAACTAGGATCATGTGATTGTCCAAAAATTTTCCAGCATCTCTTAAAGAACAATGAATGAAAGCCATGGGAGAGTGAGGATGTGGAATGGATTTGCCTAAACTTCCATCCTTGATTATAACTTGCTGACACAACTTATTCTCTTGAATCCACAGGCTTTGGAGGGTTATAGAGGAGTTCATGAGCCAGATTTCCGGTGAGTGTTATCATCTCTCACCAAAAGGGTAATCAAATTGCTTGATGATAAATTAATTTTGCTTGATGATAAATTAATTTTTCTAATACTTTACTTGTCACATTTGCTGCATGAACATGTAATAGAACTATTCAAAATCTTTAATGTACTGCCTATTATGTTGGTACTTGACACTTCATTTTCTTCCATTATTTCTTTGCCTTTTCCTATTGGCCTTTGCCTCATGGTTTTCTTGCAGGGCTGGTGGTTCTTATGATGACAGGAGGTTTCTAGATGATAGATTTTCGAGGGATGGTGTTTACTCACGGGGTGCCTATCACCGTGATATACTGGAAGGAGAGCACTACTCTCATCCGCCACCAGCAGTTGGACACTGGCCTCAAACAAGGAGAAGAAGTTATGAAGAAGAGTATCCTGTGGAGAGAGATTCCAGGAGGCATGAGAAGCTGTATGTTGATTCATATCATGAAATTTGTGAAGCTGATAAGTATCATGAGATTAACACATTCAGAGATGGTTTATGCAGTTTTGACAACTACACTGATACTGGATTTGACAGGCCTGCTAGGTATTCGGGACGTGAGCGTGACGACTACCCCTATGATGATTATGACTACAAACATCGTATGGCGCACCTGAACAGGGAGGATAGCCACGAAAGGGACTATGAGTACAGTAGATATAGTTATGACTCAGACTATGAAAGAGGCAGTGGGAAAGATGGTAATTGGAGACGACGTGAATCCCGTGAGCGTGGACGTGACAAAGAATCAAGTCGTGAGAGGGATCCGAGTCCATATAGAAGACAGGAGCATTCCCGCTCACGTTCTCGTGGTCGTGATGATCGCCTGAGATCAAGATCTCCTCGAAGTCGAAGTCATAGTCGCAGTCATAGAGAGGACAGTTATGATGATGGCCGATATGATAGAAGTGAGAGACGAAGAGATCGTGATGATAAAAGATACCATGACAATTATTCTGTGGTATGTTTCATACATTGCATATCCCATTTGCGTTTATGGTAGAAGCGCTCATGGGTTCTGCTATTTAAATGTAGGCCCCTTCAGCGACTGTTGTTGTCAAAGGCCTTTCACAGAAAACGACCGAAGAAGATTTGTATCAGATCCTTGTACTCTCTCTATCAATCTCTTGTTCTCGCTCAACTCTCTATGTGCTACTTGTCGCCCACTCAGTTTTGCTGTATTTGTGCTCATCAAATTTCTCTCCTTTTGTATGCTTTTTTTCCTTTAGGCTGAGTGGGGGCCCCTACGCCATGTTCGTGTGATCAAAGAACGAAATTCTGGCATTTCTCGCGGATTTGCCTTTATTGATTTCCCTTCAGTGGTATGGAAAATAAAATTATATGCAAATGTCATATTTTCCATTTCATTCTAGCACAGAATTGAGCTTAGTGCTGTGAAATAGGGTGCGGCGCAAGCAATGATGGATAAACTTGGGGTTGAGGGTCTAGTTGTGGATGGTAGAAAGCTTTTCTTCGAGTACAGGTAAATATTGTTTTGTTGCATAGGAGAGTGCTGATTTTGTTATCTTTATTATCATTGCCAGTTCATACTTTGCAAGATTGTTTAGTGAAGCCAAGGGTACAATGCACCAAGTGTTACTTTATCTTGCACATTTAGGGTTTAGTTTCTGTTTGGGGTCAAATTTGGAGCACCCTTTTTGAGTAAATTTATTCAAGCTTTCTTGAACCATCAGTTCTTTGGGCTTTGTCACTGCAACTGCGGCACTCCCTTCATGTTATATCAAAGTCATCATCCCTTTTATTCTTTTTCCTTGAACTTTGACGCTGCCTGCAAATTAGGGAAGGTAAGGGAGTAAAAGAGAACAGGAAGTGTTCTCTTCCTTCAAAAAAGGAAAATATACCCGCTAGGCCCCAAATCAGGACAATAATTATTATTTCTTCAACTTCCGATTGTTTTCATCTTTTATTTTCTGCAATTATCAGACAAGCTGCAATGTCCGTTTTCTTAGTAGTAGAGTTACCATGTTTTTCAGTAGTTTTAGAAATTGCTCTTGGCGTTTCTGAATAATATGTTCTGGTAGCGCTGCAAAGTTTGAATTAACAGACCTCTAATTTGTTGTTTGGCAGTAGCAAGCCAACTGGAGGGCCCGGTGGGCCTGGTAGTCTAGACAGTGCTTCAAGATCTAACCATGGTAACCATCGGAGTATCACTGTTCCATCTGATTGGATGTGCACCATCTGTGGATGTGTGAATTTTGCACGGCGAACATCTTGTTTTCAGGTTCTTATTTTTAATCCTATTCTTATAGTACTCTTATAACTTTACCTTGTTAGTTGATAATTTTTTTTTTGATAAGGTAAATTGTATTAATCAAAAGGGAGAAAAAAACTCCCGCATACAAGAAGTATACCAAAAAGTAGAGAATTTACATCAGAACATGATTCTCTACAAAAGACGCCCAATCTTCTACACAAGTAGGGGCTATATGTGTGCACCAAAAAGTGATCAAAGATAAAAGACTATTTTTAAGATGTGAAAACGGAGACTCAATCCCCTCAAAAACTCTCCTATTTCTCTCTCCCCAGACTATCCACATGAGAGCTAACGGGGCGAGCTTCTACGCCTTTTGCTTGCTTCTTCTATGGAAATCGGCCCAGCTATATAGCATTTCTTTTACAGTGTTTGGCATCACCCATTGAACACCAAAAAGATTCAAGATTGCCCTCCACAAACCCCAGGACACAGGGCAATGCAGCAGAAGATGATCAACTTCTTTCCTTGAGCTTTTACACATGTAGCACCAACTAACAAGTGTAATAACTCACTTTCGCAGATTTTCAGCTGTTAAGATCACTCCCCTCGCTGCTAGCCATGCAAAAAAGCACACCTTCTTGGGCGCCTTAGGAATCCAGATCGATGAGTATGGAAAAGTAGCCTCCTCTCTCGCCAACATACTCTCTAAAATTACTTTACGGTGAACAAATCATCGCCACACAACCCCCATCTCCAAGAATCGCAAGATGGATGGGGCCTGTCTTGCCCGTATAGTAGTGCCAACAAATTTTGGAGCTCCTAAATCTCCCAATCTTGCAGAGAGGTCCCATACTACCCCATTCATGCTCCTTGCGAATCTGTTGGACCATCAATTCCTTCTGGTTTGAAACTCTGAAGACGTGGGGGAAAGAGACCCTCAGAGTATCCTCTCCACACACCTGTGATTTCAAAAGCTGATTCTCCTTCCATCTCCCACCCTGTATGTGATGTTGCCATAGAAAGCTTCCAAGTTCTTCATGATGTTCCTCCACATGCCACACCCGAACGGTGCTGTGATTGCCTTGGTCCTCCAACCCCCTCCCGTGGAATCGTACTTTTCTACTATGACCTCCCTCCATAGAGCATGCTCTTCTACCCCGATTCCACAGCCACTTCCCCGGCAAACCTCTGTTGAATGCCCTAAGATCTTTTACTCCAAGTCCACCCCACTTCTTTGGGGAAGTGATTGTCTGCCAATTCACTAGATGAAACTTTCTAGTTCCATCCGCCACATCCCAAAGAAAATTCCTTTGAAGCCGCTCCAGTTTTTCTGTGATGCTCACAGGAGCTTGCAACATGGACAAGTAATAGGTAGGGATACTCGACAAAGTGCTTTTGATAAGCACTTACTGCCTTTTGACAAGTACCGTTTCTGCCAGCCTGCTCATCTTTTTTCAACCCTTTCAATGACTGGATTCCAAACCGTAGTATCCTTATGCAAAACGCCCAATGGTAGACCCAGGTAAGTAGTGGGAAGAGAGCCCAACTTGCATCCGAGAACGTGAGACACATCATCAATGTTAGCAACCTCACCTATCGGGAAAATCTCACACTTGCCGAGGTTGATTTTGAGTCCTGATACTATCTGAAACCACTGCAGTACCTGCTTCAGGCAGGTCAACTGATCCATATCGGCATCACAGAAAACCAGGGTGTCATCCGCAAAAAGCAAATGAGAGACTCTTCGGGCACTGAGCACCCCGATCGGAGCTGAGAATCCTCTCAAGAAGCCTCCACCCGCTGCACGATCCATCATTTCACTCAGAGCATCTATCACTAAAATGAATAACATGAGGGATGGGGGGTCACCTTGCTTGAGACCCCTGGAGCTGCCAAGGAAACCACACGGGCTACCATTAACCAGGACAGAGAATCTGACTGAGGAAATGCAGAACTTGATCCATCCCCTTCATCTTTCACAAAACCCCATCCATTTCATAATGAAGTCCAGGAACTCCCAATTGACATGGTCGAAAGCCTTCTCAAGGTCCAACTTGCACAGTACGCCGGGTTCTCTATTTTTCCTTCTGGAGTCTACAAGGTCATTTGCCACCAGAGCAGCATCCAGGATCTGCCTACTTTCCACAAACGCATTCTGGGAGGACGAAACAGACACGTCAAGAACCTTCTTGAGTATGTTGGAGAGCACTTTAGAAATAATCTTATAAATGCTCCCTACGAGACTGATAGGCCTGTAGTCTCTGATACAAGATGCGCCTTCTTTCTTAGGCACAATAGTAATAAAAGAAGCATTGATACTTTTCTCGAAAGCACCATTCACGTGGAAGTATTCAATGGCTTCCATCAACTCCCCCTTAATGGTGTCCCAACAAAGCTGGAAGAAGGCCAAGGAGAAGCCATCAGGCCCGAGGACCTTATCACCAGCACAACTTGACACAACATCGTGCACCTCCTCCTCCTCGAAAGCTCTTTCTAGCTACTCACTGTCTTCCTCCCCTATGTGGTTGAACTCTATGCCCCCCAAAGTAGGCCTCCAACTAACTTTCTCTTTGTATAAGTTCTCATAAAACCCCACTATCGCCCCTTTTACCTCCTCCTCTCCCTCAATCCTCACCCCATCCACAACTAAGGACTCTATGAAGTTTCTCCTTCGATTTGCAACCGCAACCCTGTGGAAAAACTTGGTATTCGAATCCCCCTCCTTTAACCAGAGCGCCCCTGATTTTTGCCGCCAACTAGTCTACTGCGCTATTGCTAACTCGACTATTTCCCTCTTAACCTCCCCAAATCTCGCTTTCTCAGATTTATCTAGCTCCCTCGCCCCTTCCCCTCTCTCTAATTCCCCCAATTCATGCATAAGCTTCCTCATTTTGACCTCTACCCTCCCGAAAACCTCTTTATTCCACCTAATAATATCTCCCTTGAGCAATTTGAGTTTCTTCGACAGACGGAATGAAGGTGACCCTGATACCTTGTAGCTTATCCACCATTCTTTCAATTTGTCACCAAATCCTGGCACTTTCAACCACATGCTCTCGAATCGGAAGGGAGCACACCCCCTCCCTCTGCATCCATCTAGCAAGATAGGCAATTGATCCGAAGTCAGCCTAGGTAAAGGAATCTGCAGCACATTCGGCACCGGCTCATCCCAGGAGGGCGATATCAGAAATCTATCAAGTCTAGACCTTGAGTTGGAATCCTCCGCCCTGGCCCAAGTAAACCTTTCCCCTGACAGAGGAAGATCAATGAGAAAGTGATCATTGATGAAGTCTGAGGAAGAAGATAATCTCTGTTGATAAAGGGATTTCTGTTGATAATCTCTGTTGATAAAGGGATTTCATTACCTTAAAATTCTATTGTAAGAGGAAGACGATAATTTATTATGAAACTTGTAAATTGCTTCGACTTTGATCGAATCCACCCATTATCCAACATACATGCGCACACACATGATTTTTATCATCTTTCCTAGATGGTAATTTTTTATATTTTCGCTGTTCATGTTCAATTTTGTTTTTTTTCCTTTAAGAAAACAATATTTGCACATGTTTGCTGGGAAAAATAGTTGCATCGTCACAGCCCCTGCTCTTTTGTGTATATACAACTTATATGAAATGTACATGTATGCCATTTTTATTGATTGAAGACTGAACTACATTTGCTATCAATGTTGATCTAATTAAAAGATGCAAATATGTCTTGTATGCAATGGTTTGTGAACAGAGAGTTGGAGTTAAGGATGCTGCTGTTTGTGTTCAAAATAGTAATAGAGTACTTTTGGGTAGTCTTGTTTTTTTATACTTTACACCGATCAGATATTTTCTTTATCTGCAGTCTGACAAATATCTTGGCTGAGTTGTTCATGGATGCATAAAGTTATTATAGTAATATAGCTCCAGCGCACAAGTTTTTTCTTGGTATCATCGTATGATAGCTATGCGTGATCCTGTTTTCTCCTCTTTGAAACAGTGTAATGAGCCACGGACAGATGATGCTCCTCCAGCAGACATGGCATCATCCAACTCTAGCTCTCTGGGGAGGAGAGGCGAAGCAGGTTACTAATATATGATTTGTTCAGCTCATATCTAGGTTCTGTTTGGAAGTTCCAAGTATGGAATAGATTGAATCCAACCGATCTTAAAAGCAATTTATATCCAGTATAATCTAATTCGCGGTCAGTCCTTGTCTTTTAAAATGTAAAGGTTACTTAGGATTTTACTTAATCTTGGTTTGGCATGTTATTACTTTTATTGAGGAAAGAGAGAAAATGGGAAGAGAAATAGGTATAAAGGTGGTAATTACTTTTGGGTAGGGAAAATTAAAAGATGTGGTCACAACTCCAGACTTTTAGGCCGTATTCTTTGGACCAAATTCAGCTTAAGGCCATCTCAGGAGTCAGGATTAGCTTGATCCCAAAAACAATGATCAGGTTCTTGCCAAACTAGGATTTTTAGAAAAGAACAGGAGTGCTTTCCCACCAAATCCTGATTAAGAGGTTCTCCAATTCCTCAAACAGGAACTTAATTAGCATAGTTGGATTGATCTTAATTTGATACTTTATCAGGTCCCACGCATGTCTTGGTTGTCCGTGGATTAGATGAAAATGCAGATGAGGAGATGCTTCGTTATGAATTTTCCAAACATGCTCCTATTAAGGTGAATTATTTTTTCTTATCATCTTTGCCCTTCTTTTGTGCTTCCTGGCTCCTATCTAGCTGTCTAACAACTTAATATGTGCAGGATCTTCGTCTTGTCAGAGACAAGTTCACTCACGTCTCGAGGGGATTTGCTTTTGTGCACTTCTATTCGGTACGTTTAGTTTTGGTGGTTATTGAAGTGATTGAATATTCATATACGGCACGGAGCATCAATAGTAGGCATCCTTCTTTTGGGTTGGCCATGGGAAAATTTATATGATATTTTCATTTTGAGAAGTTTGTGTAAAACATTCTTTTTGTTGATTATATTGGTGATTAGGAACATGAATGTCATTATGTTTTTCCTTCTGTTTTTTCTGGATGAGTAAGGGTTTCATTCACAAAAGGGAAAAACATACAAGGTGATTCATGTTCTCTTCATATAGTATTTTGCCAGTCATGTATAATATTTCCATTTTCTGCATTACTTAGAGGCTTGTTCCCTGTAAAGATGCTAGTCTTTATTTGTCAATGAACAAATTGGATGAAGTCTGTAGTAGGAAGTCGATCTTTTTCTGAAGGAAAATGTTTTATCTTTATTGTGCTATTTTCGCATATTTCAGGTGGAGGAAGCTACTAAAGCTCTTGAAGCAACAAATGGTACAACATTGGAGAAGAATGGACAGATTCTTAGAGTTGCATATGCAAAAAGTATCCTTGGACCAGGATCAAATGCTTCTCAGACTAGTAGCCTTGCAGCTGCTGCTATTGAAGCAGCAACTTTTGCTCAACAGGTTCTCTTACTCTTTACCTTGGTTATAGCTCTGTTCATTTTTTTGAGGGCTGGGAGCTGGTTCCATTTATAAATAAATTTTTGTTATGTTGGGCGATATGCTGCCTACAGATACCTTTGTTAGAGAGAGATGGCCTTGAACAAGTAATTTTAGCCTGAATGGGTGAATTCCTTCCATTCATACNCTGAATGGGTGAATTCCTTCCATTCATATCTGCTTAGTAGCTTTTCTAAATTGCTGCAAGTTGATTAAATACATCTCATGCAGTTGGTCAGAGTGTATCAATCGAATAACTTAAGATATGTCATCCATTTCTCAAATTTAGAAACATTATTCATCCATTTCTCAAATGTATTGAAGACTTCCGATGTTGTATTCCTTTTTTGGTACTTTCTGCAGATCATTAGAATCCCTGTGCTTTTACAAATCAATTTTATTAATTTCACTTAATTAAGCTGACACTGCGCTCTACTTTTTTTTTGGGGGTGGGGGTGGGGATGGGGGATGG